CATGGTGACTCCCTCAACCTCACTGCCCCGCAGGAGTAGCCATGTCTGTGCAGGTGGCAGCCCCCGCAAGCGCGAGCGCAGGGCTGGGCCCAGAGCGCCTGAACCCCGAGGAGCTGGTGCGGCAGACGCGACAGGTGGTCCAGGGGCTGGAGGCCCTGCGGGCTGAGCACTACAGTCTCGCTGGGCATTTGGCGGAGGCCCTGGCTGGACCGAGCCCTGTGGCTGGAGAGGAGCTGCTGGAAGAGAAGCAACAGGTGGTGAACCACTCGCTGGAGGCCATCGAGCTGGGGCTGGGCGAGGCCCAGGTACGTGGGACCGTGAGAAGGACCAGGGATGAGGGGTGTGAGTGTGCGCGCGCGTGTGTGCGTGCGTGCATGTGTGCGTGCATGTGTGTGTGTGTGTTTACCGGCAGGCCTGGTGGGGGAGGCCTGGCCCAGGGATGAGGGGACCGTAAAGCAGGGGTACTGCAGGGGGAAGTTCAGGTAGTATAGGTGGTCTGAAGGAGCCAGGCCTGGAAGGAGGGACTGCAGGTCAGAGGATGCACCCCTAGGAAGCTTAGGGAAGGGCGCTTGTGTGGCCCTCCTGTAGAACTCAGTCCTGGAGGGAGGTTGGAGTTTTCATTATGAATGGAATCCCAGGTTTTGCTAATGGCAGGGGCTCTACCACTGAGCCACGCCCCCAGCCCCTCACTGGGGGATTCTAGGCAGGTGGTCTGCCGCTGAGCCACACCCCAGCCCCTCACTGGGGGATTCTAGGCAGGGGCTCTACCACTGAGCCACACCCCCAGCCCCTCACTGGGGGATTCTAGGCAGGGGCTCCACCACTGAGCCACGCCCCCAGCCCCTCACTGGGGGATTCTAGGCAGGTGGTCTGCCGCTGAGCCACGCCCCTGTTATTCACAGATGGATTTTATTATGCAGGTGCTGGGTTAAATAGATGGAACAGGAGTTAACCTTATACATAATTTGGTTGAAAGCAGGGGTTTCTGGAAAACTCTTATTATCAGAGCCACACTGGGTTGTCCTCAGAATCTGGAGGAACCTGTGTAGAATGAGTGTATCTGGCCTAATGTAGAAAGCCTGGGCTGGGGCCGTCCGAGGGATGCACCCACTCCTCCTCATGGTCCCAATGCTTTGCAGGTGCTGCTGGCCCTGTCTGCGCACGTGGGTGTGCTAGAGGCTGAGAAGCAGAGGCTGCGGGCGCAGGCGCGGAGGCTAACCCAAGAGAATGCATGGCTTCGGGAGGAACTGGAGGAGACACAGAGGCGACTGCGGGCCAGCGAGGAGGCTGTGGCCCAGCTGGAGGAGGAGAAGAGTCACCTCCAGTTCCTGGGTCAGCTGCGGCAGTACGACCCGCCCGAGGAGAGCCAGGTACCAGGGAGTCCCTGGACACCCTCAGGCCTTTCTCAGTACCCGGTTCGCCGTCAAGCACCCGTGGGATCCCCGTTTGAGCTTCCAAAGCCCCCTCAGCGCTCCCCCAAGCTCCCAGATCTTCTCCAGCCCACTAAAACCTCGAAGGCTCCTGACCCACACCCCTGTCAGACTCAGAGCTAGTGTGGCTGAGGCTGGAGGGTGCTGAGTTCGAGGCCGGCCTGCTCTACAGAGTGAGCCTGTCCTAGACTACAGAGGCTACTCGGGCAGGCCTGAAGTAGTTTCGGGGCACTGATGCTTGCTGTTCTGGGAATTACTGTTTCCTGGTCCCCACAGAGGCCCGAGTCCCCGCCTCGCCGAGACAGCCTGGCTTCTCTGTTCCCCAGTGAAGAGGACGAAAGGAAAGGTGGGTGTGGAGGAGCCCTGGGCATGATATCAGTGGGTCGTCACCCAGGATTACAGGCTAAGCCTGCGGCTGGAACCTTGATCTGGGACGCCAAGGCCTCTGAGCAGAGCACAGGGCACGGGAAGGGAGGGCAGGGTCTAGAACATGAGGCAGGTGGCCCTCATTAGCAGGGAGGTTGGAGGCCGGAAGCTGGGCAGCCTATGACCTAGGCGGGTTCAGTTCTGGCCGGTTACACTTCTGCAGCCCCCATGCCCAGTGTCAGCGTGAGGCCCTAGAGCCAGCGGTAGTTGTGGGGCGCAGGCTGAGGCCTGTGGTGGGGACTCCACACCACCTCCCCCAGGTCCCGAGGCAGCCGGAGCTGCGGCAGCACAGCAGGGTGGCTACGAGATTCCAGCTCGCCTTCGAACCCTGCACAACCTGGTGATCCAGTACGCTGGCCAGGGCCGCTACGAGGTGGCGGTGCCTCTGTGTCGCCAGGCCTTGGAGGACCTGGAGCGGAGCTCGGGCCACTGCCACCCCGATGTGGCCACTATGCTTAACATCCTGGCACTGGTGTACAGGTGAGAGCTGTGGTGACCGCAGGGCCCCGTGTGTGGTAGTGGGCGCAGTGGTGACCGCAGGGCCCCGTGTGTGGTAGTGGGTGCAGTGGTGACCACAGGGCCCCGTGTGTGGTAGTGGGTGCAGTGGTGACCGCAGGGCCCCGTGTGTGGTAGTGGGTGCAGTGGTGACCGCAGGGCCCCGTGTGTGGTAGTGGGTGCAGTGGTGACCGCAGGGCCCCGTGTGTGGTAGTGGGTGCAGTGGTGACCGCAGGGCCCCGTGTGTGGTAGTGGGGTACAGTGGTGACCACAGGGGCCTGTGTGTGGTAGTGGGTGCAGTGGTGACCGCAGGGCCCCGTGTGTGGTAGTGGGTGCAGTGGTGACCGCAGGGGCCCTGTGTGTGGTAGTGGGTGCAGTGGTGATCCTCTGACAAGATAAAGCATCTGGGTGGGAACAGAATTGTGTGTGACAGTGATCTGGAGAGGTGGTGAGATCCAGTCCTGAGTCTGGGCACCGGCGTGGGCAAGGGGCATGAGACCGGACGCTTGACAGAATTGGCAGTGTGGGAACCTGTGCTAGAGACCTGGGGTGTGTGGGCAGACAAGGGGTCCCCTGAAAGACGCCACGGAGCACAGCTTAACCCAGCCTTCCGTCCCTGCTCTGCAGGGACCAGAACAAATACAAGGAGGCCACGGACCTTCTTCACGATGCCCTGCAAATCCGGGAGCAGACTCTGGGTCCTGAACACCCTGCGGTGAGCAGCAATTCGGGGAGGGTGGGCTTGGGGTCGCTGCAGGGGCCCTCCTCCTCTGCCAACTCTCCCTCCCCCTGCAGGTGGCCGCTACCCTCAACAACCTGGCTGTCCTCTATGGGAAACGTGGACGTTACCGGGAGGCAGAGCCCCTGTGCCAGCGTGCGCTGCAGATCCGTGAGAAGGTGCTGCGGCCAGCCCTTTGCCTTGTCATTGGTACCACAAGCCGTAACCCCTGGTGTGCCTTGCATTTGGTGACACGTTCCCCCATTTGGGTCTGAGCATCCGATCCCATGGTCCAGCACCCTGCCTTTGACCCCCTGACCCACTCCCTATCTCCAAGCTGATTTGTTGGACCCAGCACCCTGTGACCTCTGGTCTCGAAAGTTCCCACCCACCATGTTAACTTCTACTTTGTCACTACATTCCCAACCTGTTGCCCTAGATGACTGTGGCATCTCATGGACAACCCTATGTGACACATGGCTTGTGTGTTCCCCAGGTCCTGGGTGCCGACCACCCTGATGTGGCCAAGCAGCTCAACAACCTGGCCTTGCTCTGTCAGAACCAAGGCAAGTTCCAGGACGTGGAGCGGCACTACGCACGTGCCCTGAGCATCTACGAGGCCCTGGGGGGGCCACATGACCCCAATGTGGCCAAGACCAAGAATAATCTGGTGAGGCGTGGGTGGGTCCTGTGCTGTGCCGGGGGCTGTGTGGGCAGGGTAGGGGCCTCAGGCTTCCGTGGGTCCTTCAGTACAGAGAACCGTTCACAGTAACTGTCAGGCTTTATTTCACAGCAGGTGCCCCTAACATTTCACACATTGAGGTAGGAAACCGAGGCACAGGGGTGGGTGGAGCAGGGATGTGGGTCCACACTGTGGTCGGCTGAGGCGGGGTGCGGGGAAGGCGGGGTCCTGGGGAAGGCGGGCAGGCGGGTCTGAGACGTTCCCAGGCCTAAGCAAGATGCTGGCGCCCTGCCCTGCCCTCCTGCAGGCCTCGGCCTACCTGAAACAGAACAAGTACCAGCAGGCGGAGGAGCTGTACAAGGAGATCCTCAGCCAGGAGGCTCTGCCCGCCCCACTTGGTGAGCCACCCTGCCCCCTCCCTCCTTCCCTCCCTCCCCCCGTGGTGTGGCGCTTGTCCCTCCCACCTCCATGTCCCTTCTACTCCACAGGAGCCCCCCATGTAGGCACAGCCGGTGACACACAACAGCAAGTAAGCAGGCTCCACCTTGGGTGGCCTGGCCTGGGTGGGTCCCCACCATGTGCCCACACGTCACTGCGCCCGCCCTCCCCAGGTCCTGCGTAGGAGCAGCTCCTTCTCCAAGTTACGAGAATCCATCCGGCGAGGTAGTGAGAAACTGGTCTCGCGCCTGCGCGGGGAGGGCGTGGCAGGGGCTGCAGGGTAAGTGCTGGGTGAGGTCAGCAGCCTGTCAGCCCTCTCTGTGACATTAGTCAGAGCCAGGGCCCTGCAGTCCTTCCTGACTCTTGGCCCCCTCTGAAGGATGAAGAGAGCCATGTCGCTCAACATGCTGAACGTGGATGGCCCAAGGGCTGCCAGGACGCAGGTGAGGGGCCAGGGATGAGTAGGTGCTGCTGGCAGGCTCAGTAAGACCGGGAAGGTGGGGGGCGGGCAGAGGCACGCCATGGTCCCAGTGTCACTGGGAAAGACCTCTGACCACCCTGTGCCTACCCCCAGCTCTCAACCCGGCACTTGAGCGAAGCCTCTCGGACCCTGAGCGCCAGCACGCAGGACTTGAGCCCTCCATGAGTGGACTGGCGGCTACAGTGGCCGCAGCTGCTCAGCAATCGGGGAGGGTGGGTGGCACCTGTGGATCAGGGTCCTGCTGTCCTCCCTGCAATTAAAGGCTGCTGTCTGGAACTGGGTAAAAATTGCCTGAGGGTCCCGGAACCTTCCAGTACCTCCTGGTGCCTCCGATGTCACCAGTCTGTGTTCAGAGCTGCTGTGCGATCTGCTCAACCCGCCGCAGCGTCTCCTCTGACTGCAGCTGCTCCAGGCTGAGCAGTGACAGCCCCAGCTGATCTTCCTGGAGGCAGAGGAAAAGGACAGGGCGTCAGGTTGCACACATCAACATGGCCCCGTGTCCGGTGACCAAACGAGGGAGCGGGCACTGGTCTCTCCCTCTCCCTTACTGCCTGGACATGGCCCTGAGGTGACTAGGAAGTGTGCCCCTGGGAGGGGAGAAGGCACCAGGCCCAGGCTTACCCGGTGGAAGGGCTGCGCCATCTGCCGCAGGAAGTACTTGGCAACCTGCACGCCCTCGTCCACAGTCAGGTTGAGGTTGGAGTCAGTCAGGTGCTCCTGGATCCACCGAGGCAGCTTCCCCCGTTTGTCAGCCCGTGCGAAGCGCTGAGGAGGGAGGGGAGGACGGCAAACCCAGGCTGGACCCAGGCTGCCTACCGCCCTGTCCCGTGAGGAAGGAAGGGCGTCAGCTAGGCTGGGTGCCCACGGGCCCGAGCCCCACCTTGTCAGCGAAGACCATGAGACCGTAGTCCGTCTTGCCCCTGATGGCGCGGCCCACACACTGGGCTGCATGGCGCATGGCGTCAAAGGTGAGGAAGTCATTCTCTCGGATCTGGAACTGGTCCCGCAGGTACTCCAGCCGGGCCTGGGGAGAGGAGGAGTGGAAGGTAGGGACCCCGCCCTTCCCACACGCGATGCCCCTCCTGACACGGCTGCCCCCCCACTCACCTTGAGAATTCGGCTCTGGGTGTAGACATAGGGGACCCCGAACATGATCACAGCCCGTCCATAGTGGTGCACTGGGGGCAGGACAGCAGGGTAACAGTGCATTCTGGGCTGGTGTTAGGGTGCACGCTTAGGGACCCCCCAGGGTGTGGTTCGGGCATGGGATCCCTCCCTCTGCATGCCCAGTGGTCCCCAAGGGAGCAGCCATGGGAGGGTGGGCAGGCCACTGGGCTGAGCGGGGTCAACTCACCAAAGTCAATCCCTTCTGACACTTTGCCCCGAGCCACCGAGAGCAGAATGGCCCCCCGGCCATTTTCACACGCCTAGGGGTTGGAGGCCGTCACTTCCCAGCCCTTTCCCATCCGCCTGCTGGCAACTGGCATCGCCCTGCCTGCCCGTCCAAGGCACCCACCTCTTGGTACTTCTCCAGGGCCACGCTGGTCTCTGCCCCGTCCTGGGTCTCAATGAAGAGCAGCTTGTTTCTCTGGATGTTCTCAAGGATGCCCTGGGGGTGACAAGGAGGTCAGGCCACAGGACCAAAACACTCTTGTTTCAGCCCTGCGGCCTCCCATGGAGAACCTTCTCCGGGCCCTCAGCTGTCCAACCTCTTTGACAGTCCAAAGTGGGGTGCCGATCCCTACCCAAGAAGGTGGGCACGGGGCCCAAAGTGGAGGGCCTGACCATAATCCAGGCAAGACCAGGGGTACCCCGAGTTCAAATCTGTCACTGCAATGACCAAGATAAAGTCAGGCCACCCACCAGGACAATACAGGTTCTGGCTGGGCGTTGGTGGTGCATGCCTTTAGTCCCAGCACTAGGGAGGCAGAGGCGGTCGATTCTCTGAGAGTTTGAGGCCAGCCTGATCTACAAATCGAGTTCCAAGGCAGCCAGGAGTGCACAGACTTAAAAAAAATACAGGGTCACTTGTGCAACTCAGTGAGCAGAGCTCTTAGCAATGTTTATAAACTAAGGGACTTTTGATTGGAAAAAATACAAATTGCCCCGACCTCACCAAGTTCAGATGAGGGGTCCAGGTGCTTCACAGACTCACAGTGGTGAATCTACTTTGTTTTTCAGGGTTAGGGATCTACTGTGACAAGTGCCTGTACATGTTACCCACATGCTCTGCTCCACCACTCACCTAACCTACAGCCCCTCACTGGGGAAGTCCAGACTAGGTACCTGCCTGAGCCACGCCCACAGTCCACAGTGCCTGTTGGAACGTCCCTTTAGCCCCATGGAGCCTCATCCATACACCTAGGAGAGCTCCTAGGGTGGGAGTTCTAGTCCAGCCGAACTCTCTGGACCCTAAAGCTCACAGCACCGTCCCCTGGCGCCGGGCCTGCTTGCTGGGGACGTAGTCTGCAGTAACCCCAAGGGCAGCGCATCACACCTGCCCCAAAGGTGGGGTGGCCCCTCTGGTGGGGATGGTGCAGTGGTGCTGTTAGCGCTACAGCCCTACCCTGTGACGTGTCCCCAGTGCAAACATGGGGAGTGGGACCCCACAGCAAGAGCTGAGGGTGTGGGCAGTGGGGACGGCGTACCTGCTCATACCAGGAGGCCACAGTGCTTTCCATGTATTGGTAGCTGGTAAAGAAGGCCACAATGCCGTCGGGGACCACAGCAGACATCTCCAGCAGGAGGTTGCCATAGTTTCGGATTACAGCTAGGGAGAGGGGGTTGGAGACTGGATCCTCTCCTGCAGCCCACTGAGGTACTTACCTAGATCCCGGATTCTTCCTCCCAAGCCTATTATCAGAGGGCTGTCCCCTGCCACCCCAAGTTCAAGGCCATAAGAAACACGTAGAAGTGGCTGTGACCCTTCTAGAGGACACTCAGAAGCCAGTGCCCAATGTTCCAAAGGCCCCAGTGATGTGCCTAGAGGTGCAGCTCCCACAGTGAAGACACCCATGGTGGGCCTGTGTTAGCCACAGAGGCTGGACCTCATCCACCTGCGTCCCACCCCAACCAAACCCACACAGGTGACTCACCAATATCTTCCCTGGTCTCAAATTTGGAGCTGATGGCCACCTGGTCATTACCACGGCCGATGATCTGGAAGAGTCAGAGCGAAGGTACTGTGACACCCTTGACTTAAAAATGCCCCCTCTTCTGAGATAGTGTCTCATGTAGCCCGGGCTGGATTTTAGTCTAGGAGCCTCATGAGGCTCCCCCTCCTCCCCACCCATGAGAAAGCTGTTTCCCAGCCCCTGAAGTTCCAAAAAGCCCACAGCTCTAAAACATCCGTCTAACCCTGCTGCCGAGAGAGGAGGCGTGCACACAGATCCACCCCTCTGGCAACTGCCCTCTACACAGCTCGTGCTCCTGAAGCGTGCAAGCAGGCCACAAACTTGTGTAAGGGTTTCTGATGTGCATCCCCAGCCATAGTTGGCTTTGTGTGGCCCACGGACTGTGGAGTGAACATGCCTAACACCCCGCCACACTCTACACTCCAAAGCAGAGGCCTGGAGGTTAGAGGACACAGCTGTGCCCTAGGCTTCAGAGGGAGGCTCATTACCCAAGTAACAGTCTGAGAAGTGGCAAACGTGCCCTGACCAAGATGGCGACAAAGCACCAAGCCTGCTCCCTAAATGCTATGGTCCAGGTTGCTGGGTCCATCGGTGGCCTAAGCCACAGCTGAACGGCTGGCTGCCTGCATAGAAGCCAGGAGGCGGTGGCCCCGCCAGTATCACCCACTCACCATTGGGCAGAGGCAAACTCGGGCCAGCGTCATGGTGAAGGTTGCCATTGTGACGGGGTGGAAGTCCAGGATCTTGGGGTAGATGTCCAGGGGGGACAATGTCTGCAACAGAGGCAGCAAGGGAGACCTCAGCAGGATGGGGCAGGGACCAGGACCGCCATGGAGCAACTGCACAGAGTCCTTACCCCAGAGGTGATGATGACAGATTGGAAGCGTTCAAACACAGGCTTGATGGCCAAGGAGGCGTCCATACAACTGTGGGACAACGGCAGTCACACGGGGCAGAGGCCGGGGGCCGAGGCCCATCCCATCCACACCGGGTTGCTTCTCACCTGAAGTGCAGGATGGGGTTGGCGATGGTGGGGGTCCTGTCGTCGAAGGGCTCGATGATAATGGTGAACCCTGAGGGGGGAGGAGGCTGGTGAGTCTCACATGGTCACCATGTGGTCACTACCACATACGACCCAGACGCTCACCATCCAAGTGCCCGCCCACGCCTCTGCCGGGCCGGTACATGGCAGGGCTGTACTCAGGTGTGGGAACAGGGCCAGCCAGGGAGACGGTGGAACCTCAGGTTGGCTGGCGCCTGCACACTGCTCCCACACCCAGAAGAGTACCGAGTTCTCCCAGCAGCCGAGTCAGTCACCCCCAGGGCCCACTCGGTGGGCTGGGCCCTTCCCTGCCCCAGAGGCTCCCCTGGAGGCCAGGCTACTGCTCCTCAAAGCACTGCCACACCAGTATCACCTGCGATGGTCTTTGCTCCCTGCCCCCAGGCTGTGACCCCTGGATGAGGAGGGCAGGTAAGGCTGTGTTAGAGCCCGCTGCCTCCACAGGGCTGGGCCTGGCCCATTTGTTGACTGAACAAATGATTACATTCACGGATTCTGTTTCACTTGGTAAGAAGCGATCAGGTCCTGTGTCCAGCACCATGCTGAGGACTCGGCAGTGACCGACACAGCCTGGGTCCCACCCACAAGGTCCCCTTGCACTGGGGGGATAGCTATCCAGACACCCAGCCGGGACGGGGGGGGGAGGCCCAGCACGGAGTTGGGTGGGGGTGACAAAGGAAAAGGACTGGGCAGGTGATGGGGGCCCAGGGAAGCAGGCTTCACGTAAGAATGTGATGGATCAGTTGGGGGAGCAGGAGAGAGAACAAGGAAGGCCAAGAGAAGGGGCTGGGTGAGGGCTGGAGGCAGCTGCCAACAGCCCTGGGGCGGGGCTGGGGTACCCTCCTTCCGAGGCTGAGCCAACTGCAGGATGCCAGCTGACCTGGTTTCCTGGCTACGGTAGTAATCCCCAGGGATAAGCTTTAAAAACTCATTGTAAAGTGAGGGGTGGGGGGCGACACCCAGACCCAAGCAAAGGCCTCCAGAGTGAGCTGACCCCACAGCACCCCTCTGGGCAGTGGCACAGCTGCTCACTCCATGTCCCCTCTGCAGCCTGGAGGACCCTCTGGGCACATGATCTGAACACGAGGCTCCCCAGGGCCCTCAGTAGCCCAACTTCCCGGTCTCACACGCCCAGACCTCCTCTAGTTAAACTCACCCAACTTGGCTGGGCCCCCAAGTCCTGCCGCCAGGGCCCCAGTAGAGGCGAGAGGAGAGCTTACCCTTGGCGTAAGTGCTGACGAGAGTGGCAAAGTTAGCAAGGAGTGTGAGCGGGGAGAAGTCCGCCAGGTCCGCGATCTCCAAGGTGTGCAGCAGGGAACGCAGGCGCTCAGCACAGAACCTGAGAAGCGATCGGGTCAGGGGAGGGAAGCTACAGCGGGCTGGCCTGGGCATTGTTTGTGGCCAACCTGTCCCCACACTGTGCAAGGCACCCAGAGCTGCCACTCCGGATGGCACACTGCACTATCACACGGTGCCCAGATTTGCCTCTTGCATGCAAATTCTTGTTAAACAAGACCCATGACCAACAGTCACTCTACCTCTGTGCGGCCACACCCCCCTCAGCCAGTGTCATGGACCCCCACACTCAAAAGGAAAAGCCACACACACCTTCCCAGGCTCCCAGAGGCTGTGTCACCCACCCCTGCCCCCCCCCCACACACACACACTCTGCCGGCGCACCTGAGGGGCTTGCGCTGGATGCACACGCGCTGGGCCAGGCCGCTGAGGAAGGCAGGCGGGCTCTCCTGCACCACATGCTGCACGCGCAGCCGCCACTTGACGTACTCCAGCAGCCGCCGCAGGAAACCCAGGAAGTGCTCGGCTGTGCGGATGGAGCCTGGCACGGCCTCTGCGGGGAGACTGAGTCAGCTGGCGCAGGAAGGAAGGGCGTAGGAGCGGCGGTGGGCGGGGCACGGCTCACCTTGCAGCACCTCGTCGGGCAGCACAGGGTTTGCCAGGTGGGCATCCGTCTCCCGTGCCGCACTGGCCTCCCGCAGCCCCTCTACCAGGCGCCGGTACTCGTCCCGCAGCCGCTGCTCATCCGTCTCCTTGATCCTGATGGGGACACGGGACAGGGACAGGAGCTGGAATGGGGCAGGTGACTAGGGCCACTGAGCCGGACGGAACACGGGGACAGAGCAGGCACCTGAGCACAGTCTTCTGCAGGGTGTCCAAGTTGCTCTGGCAGCGGTCCAGAGTCCTGCGGGTGAGGTTGACACTCATGGAGTCGATGCACACATTGTCTAGGGAGAAGAGCAGACAGAGGCGGGCTAAGCCAGGTTCTGGGGGTGGAGGAGGGGCAGAGAGGCTGCCCCCGTCCGCACACCCTGGCACCCTCCTCACCAATGTTGTGGGCTTCGTCGAAGACCACAACAGCCTTGCGGGCCAGCTCTTTGGACACCAGGTCTGCGATCTTGGGGTCCAGGAGATAGTGGTAGCTGTAAACCACCACGTTGGCATGCAGGATCTGGGCACGTGGATGGAAGGGTTTTTGCCTTGGGCCCAGCTGCTCCCGTCATCCTTCCCAGACGTACAGACGTGACCCAAAGTCAGACAGACACAGTAGATGGATGGAACAGACAGAGAGGACCACCCAGGCAAGGCAAAAACAGAGGTAGCGGGATGGAGACTTAGCCTAGGTACCAGTCAACAAAGATGCAAGCAGACGGACAGGCTAACAGATGGTGGGCAAGGTGGCTCATGCCTACAACCCCCATAGCTAGGAACCTGAGGCAAGGTTATTCTAAGTTTGAGGCCAGCCTGCGCCAGAAGAGAACAAAACAGCTCTTCACCGAGTATCGAGCCAGGAAGTAGGGGCACCAGCCCTGCCGCTGCCCCACGGCCTTCAGGTCATCCAGGTTGTAGATGCCTGCAGGGAGGGGCACCTGGCGTCCATGGGTGTCAAATTCCTGGGGCAAGGCCAGAGGATGGCAGGGTCAGGGAGAGCTGCCGCCCAGAGCCCCTGCCCTCCCCGCCCGGCACCTCCCTTCCCTGCACCTCATAGAAACGGCAGTGAGGCAGGCTGGCGTCCTGCTGGTACTGGGCCCGCACGTATGAGGCCGTGAGGCTGTGGCACTTGCCATCCACATCCTTCCCAAAGCGCAGTGGTGTCACCTGGGGGTTCAGGGGACAGGGGACAACTTACAACAGAGGCAGGGGTAGTACATGCCAGCTGTGCCAACCCGGGTCTCCAAACTCAGGCCACCACGAGTAGCATGTCAGCAGGGGTTTCTGGGCAACCGGAACCTTCACCTGACCCACTATTAGTTAAAAGAACGTACTGCAGGAGTGTCAGAGTGGGGGCACTGCTAAGACCCAGAACTTTCCCTAGAGATGGGCATGGCAGCCCCTGCCTGAATCCCACTTACTAAGATAGCTGAAGCAGGACTGCACACTCAGGCCCTACCTCACAATAATGTGTGCAGGGAGATGTGCAGAACACTGTATACACAATAAATAAATCATAAAAACCCCCAACAACAACAAACCAACATATAAATGTTTAATAAATAAACACCTAGCAAGGAGTTGGTGGTGCACACCTTTAGTCCCAGCACTCTGGAGGCAGAGGCAGGTGGATCTCTGTGAGTTCGAGGCCAGCCTGGTCTAGAGAGTGAGTTCCAGGACAGGCTCCAAAACAATACAGAGAAAGCTTGTCTCGAAAAACCAAAAATAAATGGCTCAGGAGTTAGGAGCGCTGGCTGCTCTTCCAGAGGTCCTGAGTTCAATTCTCACATGGTGTCTCATACCCATCTATAATGGGACCTGATACCCTCTTTTGGAATAAAGGTGCACATGCAGATAGAGCACTCACATAAAATCAACAAATACAAATAAATAAATCTTTAAAAAACTAATCAAGCTGACAATAGTGGTGCATGTTTTTAATCGCAGCATTCAGGAGGATCTCTGTGAGTTCAAGGCCAGCCGGGTCTACAGTGAGTTCCAGGACAGCCAGGGCTACACAGAGAAACCCTGTCTTCACTGAGAAGCCCTTGGCTCAACTGTGTTTGGGGTTCTGGAATACCTTCATACATGTAATAGACTGTCAGATAGGACGGGAGGCTGCCATGAAATTCACTTATGTTTTATGTATACAAAAATGCCAATACTTCAAGCATGCTATACCACTCAGACTGACTTATCCCGTAAGGTCAAATGAGAAATTCTGAGGCCCCACATTGGCACTCAAGCAGTTTCTGATCTTGGCACAAGTGCCAACCTGGGTTATGAAGGATGAGCCAAGATCTAACTGAAAAAGGAGATTCTGGTGGGCACCCCATACTGGCCAAGGGTTGTCTCCGGGGCTTTACTGGGTAGGCCAAGGCTGAGGGCAAGGCCCGGGTCTCACCTCGGGATGAATGCACAGGTTCTTTCTTGAGCTCAGCGCTAGTCCTAAGAACGGCAGCTTCTCGCCCTCCTGCTGCTCATAGTAGCTGAGCAGCTTGCGAAGCTCTTCTATGACCTGCTTAGATGATGGCAGTATAAGCCCTTGCTCACCAGGCTGGTGAGGGCAGCACCTGGGGACCACTGAGGCCCAGGGGAGGGGACAGAGCACCGGGTCCACCCTCGCTGCCCACCTTCTCAATCTCAGGTACGGTCCGAGAGCAGTAGATAAGTTTGGTCACCTCCAGCGGAAAAGCCTGTGGGTGACAATCAGCTCAGCCCCATCCAGCACCCCCTCCCCAGTCCAGACACTCAGGATGGTCACTCACCCTCTGGTAGGCCACTATCAGGGCCAGCAGGGACACTGTCTTCCCAGTGCCTGAGGGCATTTCCAGGACTCCATGACCCTGAAAGTTGGGCACAGAAGACACAAGACCCGGCTCTCAGAACAAAACTATGGGGACTCTCCCCAACACATCCATTACATAGGAACACAAGACACAAAACACTGAGCTGCCATCAAGGCCCAGGGAGCAAGGAGCTTCATCTCTGCTTCTCCTTTTTACTGAGTTTTTATTTTTCATTCTTAATTTTCACCCCAAGAATCTTGCTAGTCTAGTACTTCCTATGCACCTCCAGCCAGCTTTGAACTCTTGGAGATGCTCCTGCCTCTACCTCCTGAGTACTGAGGGTACAGGCTGAGTCCTATTCCGGTGACCTTGCTGAGCAGCAGAAGCTGAGAACCTTTACGTCTCTGGGTCACAGTATCCTTGCTTCTGAGTGCCTTCACAGCCCTTACTTGGAGCAAGATTGCGAGGACAGTCAGGGGCGCACACCTTTAATCCCAGCACTTGGGAGGCAGAGAGGCAGGAGGAGCTCTGAGTTTGAGGCCAGCCTGGTTTACAGAGCGAGTTCCAGAATAGCCAGAGATGTTACACAGAGAAACCCGTGTCTTGAAAAACCAAAACCAAAACACTGAGAGGATTAATAGAATTGTGGGCCCCCGAGATGACTTTGCAGGTAAAGATACCTGTGGCCAAGCCTGATCACTCAAGGTCAATCCCCAGGAAAGAACCAAACTGTCTCTCAAAGTTATCCACTGACTTCCTCATGCACCCCATAGCATGTACACACACACACACTCTAAATAAACAAACAAATACCATTAAAAAAATTGTTTTAAAGAAAGTTTGTGTTCAGGGCTGTGGAGACGAGCATGTAAAGGTGGCTGCCACTGAGCCTACCAGCCTGATCCTTAGGCCCCACAGAAAGTGGGAGGTACCACCAAGCCCAGGCAGCTGCCCTCCAACCTCCACAGCTGTGACTGCACACCTGCCGGAGAGCCTGAGTATCCACACCAGTTACCTATGAAAGCCTGTCTGACACCCAGGAACCTAAGGCAGGGGCTGCTAAGGCCAGCGCCAGTCAGCCTGGGCTACAGAGTCAGCCTGCGCAAGTCAGGGCCGTCCTATCTCGTAGAAAAAGGAAAGAGGCTGGGATGTAGCTCCAGGTGCAAATGTTCACCCTGCCCAGCACGTTGGTCTAATTCCTAGCAACAACAACAATAAAACAAACAAAAACAACAACAACAAAAAAACTGCTGTAAAATGGAAGCTGTTGCCTTTCATGTGTGAACTGGCCCAATCCTCACAATAACCTAGGAAGGCCGTCACTGGCTCCATCTTAAAAAAAAAAAAAAAAAATTAACTCATGTGTATGTATGTATGTGTGTACACTGTGTGTATGCAGTGCCTGCAGAAGCAGGGAGAGGGTGCCGGATCCCCTAGAGCTGAAGTCACAGCTGGTTGTGAGTGCCAGGCATGGGCACTGGGAATCGAACTGGGGTCCTCTGGGAGGGCAGCAAGCCTTCCTAACCACTGAGCCACCTCTCCAGAGTCTCATATACCCCAAGATGATCACCAAAACATTATTTTTTTTCTTCCTCTTCTTCAAGACAGGGACCTAAGGCAAGTGGGTTGTTAAATGCATCGTGAGTCTAGGCAAGTTTGTGAGGTCCTGTCGAATAACAAAAAGTGAAGAGTGGGCTTTGATGTAGCCGAAGGTGTAGGTACCTGCCCAGCGCATTGGTTCAATTCTTTCTACGGAACAGGTTCTCTCTACATAGCCCAGGCTGTCCTGAAATTCTGTATGTAGACTGGCTCCAAGTGCCCAGTCATTCTCCTGCCTCAGCCACCCCAGGGCTAGGGTTACAGGCACGCATCATCCCATACCGGGTTAATTCAGTGTTTGGATTCGAGTATGCTCACCCTTCCACAGGTTATCTAGACATTTTGGGAAAACAGCCTCCCTACACATAGCCCTAGCTAGCCTGGGACTCACTATAAAAGCCAGGCTGGCCTTCAAAGCTGCTGGAATCACAGACACACGCTGTCACATTCAGGTTTGCGGTGGCGGGGGTTGAACCCCCAGCTTCATCCATGACGCTAGCTGGACAAGCGCCCTACCAGCTGAGCGAGCTACCTTGTTAACTGTTGAGCAGGCTCCCGCTATGGCCCAAGCTGGCCTTTAAGCTCGCAGCGGTGCTGCAGCCTGAGCGTCACAGGGTGCTGGGATTGCACGCCCGGGCCCCCAGCAGGAAGTCAGCCGGGCCGGGCCGGGCCGGGGCGGGGGAGCCCTGGGTGTGCAGAGCCGAGCGGCCGCCCGCGGCCCCGCCACCCACCTTGGCGTCCAGCGTGCGCTTGAGCTCCAGCATGTAGGAGAACTGCTCCGGGTAGATGTAGTCGTACGGGAAGTAGACCAGCAGCCCGTCCACGTTGAGCCTGGCGGCGGCGGCGGAGCGTCGGTGCCCGGCGCTCTCGGGCCGCCCCGGCCTCCGTGCCGCCCGCCCGGCCGCCCCCGCGGCGTGTCCCCGCCACGGACCCCGAAGCCACCCGGACCGGTGTCCGCAGCGTCTCCGCGCCGCGCCCCGGCCCCGGCGGCGCCCACCGGCCGCCCCATCGCCCACCGCAGCGCCGACCGCGCGCCCCGAACCCCTCCTCACTTCATGGCGTCTCGCCGCGGCGTCCCTCGCCCGCCTCTTGAATATTCAACGAGGGGGCGTGGGCACAGAAGCTCCACCTCCCTCGTGACGCTATTGGCCGAGCCTGTCCGTCAGCCCGCCAATAGGAAGACCGGCGCGTGCGCACGGAGGCGAGAGGGCGGGCTCCGGAGGGAGAGAGGCGGAGCCCGAGGCATGGCTGAGGATCGCCGACGACTGGGAAGGGTGAGAGCCGAGAATCGATCAGGCTCATTGACTTAGCTCTTTCTGGTTGTTTCCTGGCTGGGGAAGCAGTGAATAGAGTGGAGAGGAGAATTCAACAGAAAAGTTGGAGGCCTTTCGGAGACCTTCAGTTCTAATGACTTAGATGTACCAGACAAGCACAGAATTACAAAATCCGTGTCCAGACCTAACACAAGAAACCTAAAAACAGCTTCTCCCTTTTATTTGAGCTCCTACTCTAGCCAGATTCTTCTACTTGTAATTAAAAACAATCATTAAAGGCCAGGTGGTGGCGGCGCACGCCTTTAGTCCCACCTGATTGCATTGCAGTGCAGGTTTTTTTTTTTTTTGTTTTGTTTTTGTTTTTTTGTTTTTGGTTTTTAGAGACAGGGTTTCTCTGTGTAGCTTTGGAACCTGTGCTGGAACTAGCTCTTGTAGACCAGGCTGGTCTTGAACTCACAGAGACCTGCCTGCCTCTGCCTCCTGAATGCTGGGTTGCCTGGAGGTCTTTCTTCCTTTCCTTCTTTTTCTCTTTCTAACTATTTTATTGCATGTGTATGAGTGTTTTGCCTGCTGCATGTGTGTGCAGCAGATATATCCTGGTCCCCTTGGAGGTCAGAAGAAGGAATCAGATCCCCAGGTACTGGGGCTGTGGATGGTTTGGGCGCTGGAAACCACACCCAGGTCCTCTGCAGGGGCAGCGGCGCTCTCAATCCCTGAGCCATCGCTCCACTTTGCTTTTTAATTATAGCTTACTTCTTTATTAGCTACGCGGGCACGTGTTGTGTCTGCCAGAGAACAACTTCCGGGAAGTTTGTTTCTGTCCACTGTGTAGATCCTGGGGAGCGAAAGCTCAGAACTTTGGGCGTGGTAAGAGCATCCATTGACCCCCGGAGCCATCTTGCCAGCTCACAGATGTCATCTTCTAAAAGAGGGTGTTTCTAACCCCCAAGTTCCCAAATGAATCACGTCTTTTGGACACGCACACTGGTGCCAGTCGGTGAGGAAACCTGTGTTTCCATTTGAGATTTCACACAGTTCTTGATCATGTATCAAACCACCTTGCAGGCCACGGTGGAGGCCAGCCAGACACGAAGGGGTCAGTGTCCAGCTGCTTCATTACACATACCTGTTGCTCTCTCAACTTGGACCTCACGTTAGGACCCTGAAGATGGACTTGGGGGAGGTGGCCCCAGACCCTCTTTATTTTTCTTTATTTCCCCTTTAAACATCTGCGTTCGCTCGACCTTTTCCATTTCTTCCACTTCCTAATGTGGTCACATGGTTTAAAAACTTTTCTTTGTTTTTGATAAATAAATAAATAAATAAATAAATAAATAGAAAATGGTCATGGTGGGACACATGTGTCACCGCAACCTCCTACCGGGTCCAAGGCACCAGGATTACAGGTTTGAAGGTAGCCTAGACTGCACAATAAAATCCAATCTCAAAATCTTTCTCAAAAGCTGGGCATGATGTAAGGAGGTAGCTGAGCACGCCTTTCATCCCAGCACTCAGGAGGCAGAGGCAGGCGGGTCTCTGTGAGTTCGAGGCCAGCCTGGTCTACAGAGCAAGTTCTATGACAGCTAGGGCTACACAGAGAAACCTTGTCTCGAAAAACAAAACAAAAATCTGGGTATGGTGGTGTTTGTCTTTAGTGCCAGCATTGGAAGGGAAACAGCAGGTTTGAGGCTAGCCTGATCTACATAGCATGATCCAGGCCTGTCTCAAAAAACCAACAATAAGATAAAAATATTAGACTTGCGTGTGACGGACCTGTGAGAAGGACCTTGTCGAGGTTTGTGTTAAGCTGAAGCACAGACAGCATTCTTGAAACCTGAACAGACTTAAAACGATGCTCACTTCTGTGCAAACTACCTTTATTTATAAAGGAACAGTTCCCCGTGTCATTGCAAATATCAAGCCACACGGGTGTGAAGGCACTTGGCTGGGGAAGGGGGGCAGACATCCTGCTCAGGAGCTATGGACCCCACCCAGGCCCCAAGGCTGCTGGGAGGAATGGGGGCTGCTGGGAGGAATGGGGGCTGCTGGGAGCAATGGAGGCAGAAGGGACTCAGAGAGAAATGGTGGTTCACCCTCCCAGGCTCAGCTGCGACAGTACAGTGGCTTGCTGGCAGTTAGGAGGCTCTTTGCACCAGATCTGATTTGGCAAGTCTGTGTGTGTGTGTGTGGGGGGGGGTGTGTGTGGGGGGGAAGTCTCCTGCCCACAAATGTCCTCAGCCCCACGTCACCCCAATGCCTAAGGCAGCTTCCTACTCTTAAGTCTGGGGCTGGCCTCCCTCGAGCCTCTGGAAGAACTTCTGGTGTAGGCTGCACCTGTCTGGAGATTAGGGCGCAGGTAAACTCAGCAATAGTTGCATTGGAAAGGTCCGGGTGGAAAGGCGGGCTTGCACTTTTGACCTTGATAATCGTCCTTCGTTGCTGCTAGATTTTGCTCCTCTGAGACTTCACTCTGGGGAAGAGCTGAAGGAAGGGAACCCTTAGACTCCAGGAACCCAGGCCCCCTTGCTTATCCCAATCCCACGATGGGGGGCTGCCAACTAACCACCAGCCACACCGCTGGTAGGAAGACATGGGGAAACCTGTATGGGGCCGTCATCCACTTTCCCGAGTGAAAGGAATCCCTCCCAACCCCACCATAGCACACCCAATAATGATTTTTCTAGATTCCTTCACCATTGTAATAATGAACTCTGTAGGGAGAGAGAGGCCCGTTTGTAGCTCAGGCTGACCTAAAACTTACTATGTAGCCCAAGCTGGCCTCAAACTTCGCAATTCCTCTGCCTCAGCCTCCAAAGTACTGGGATAACAGGAAATGTTATCATCTTGCCGGCTCTCTCTTTCCTGAGAGCAGCCTGACCACACCCATTAATGGCGGCTTCCACCGGGTCCCCTCCGGGCTCACCCCAAAGTAGTTGCGCGGCACATAGCCCTCCTGGCCATGCAGTACGGCCCACCACCAGTCGGTCTCCTCTGGCCCGTCTCTCCGAAGCACAGTGACTGACTCGCCCTCCCGGAAGGACAGCTCATCTCCGAATTCCGCGCTGTAATCCCACAGTGCGTACACAACCCCGTTGTGCATCAGTCCCATGCTTTGCTCGATGTCTGAAAATACATAAAGAACAATGGCAGGCGGGCCAGGGCCCGGGAATGAAGACAGCCATGGGGGGGGGCAGGGTCAACAGAGGTGAGCCACCGAAAAGCTGTCTGTGGGTGGGAATGAGGGGCTGGGACAGGCACTCCCTGACATATGAGGAGTCTTGGTGTGCAAAAATGGACAACCTACCTTTGCTCAGAATCAATGGCTGGGGTTATCACCCTTCCTTCCTTCCTTCCTTCCTTCCTTCCTTCCTTCCTTCCTTCCTTCCAAGATTTTATTTACTTACTATGTATACAGTGTTCTGCCTGCATGTCTGCCTGCAGGCCAGCAGAGGGCACCAGATCTCATTATGGCTGGTTGTGAACCACCATGTGGTTGCTGGGAATTGAACTTGGGTCCTCTGGAAGAACATTCAGTGCTCTTAACTTCTGAATCATCTCGCTAGTCCTTTTTTTGTTTGTTTTTAAAGAGTTGATTATTTATATATTTTATGTAGATGGATGCTTTGTCTGCATGTACACCGGCACGCCACAAGAGGGCAGTGGATCCCATGGAATCACAGTGATAGCTGGTTGGACCCACCATGGCAGGGCAGGGAACTGAACTCACTACTCTTAACTGCTGAGTGATCGTGATCCCTCCAGGCCCCCATGTCCTCTTTTTTTTTGTTTTTGTTTTTGTTTTTGTTTGTTTTGAGACAGGGTTTCTCCGTGGCTTTGGAGCCTGTCCTAGAAGTAGCTCTTGTAGACCAAGCTGGCCTCACAGAGATCCGCCTGCCTTTGCCTCCAGAGTGCTGGGATTAAAGATGTGCACCATCACTGCCCGGCTCCCCAGCAGGGTCAAATGTGTCTCAGACTGGCCTCAGACTAGGTACACACGCAAGGATGACCCTGAACTTTTGGTCTTTCTGGCTCCACATCCCAAGCTGTGGTATTACCGGTGTGGCCCTGGGGACAGAACCCAGAACTTCAATCATCCCAGGCAAGCGCTCTACCAGCTGACCTATATCCACCCCTCCCCCCTTTTAAATGTCTTTGCTTTTTTATTTTATGTGCATTGGTGTTTTGCCTGCAGGTATGTCTGCGTAGGAGTGTCAGATCTTGGAGTTATAGACGGTTGTCATCCACCCAACCTTTTTAAAGACAGGCCCTGTCTAGAACTCTAGCTGGTCTCTAACTATGATCCTCCAGCCTTAGGAATGAGCTGGCATTGCCTGGCCCCCATCCCCACCCCATACAATGTAAACGCTTTCTGCTCCATGACCCCTAATGCCAGCTTATGACAAGACCTGCCTCTCCAGGGGGAGACTACGGGCAAGCCTCCGGTGCAATCTATCTTGGCAGTCCCATTCATGCAGTTTAGCCTGGTCCCGGGGAAAAACCTGATCTACAAGTGTCCCAGCCTCTACACGGCTTCCAGCAGGGCGCCTTCCTTTTGTCTGTCTTTGGTCTTGAGACGGGGTAGCGCTCTGTAGTCCTGGCTAGCCTGAGCTCACTCTGTAGACCGGGTAGTCCTCCAACTCACAGAGATCCACCCGCCTCTGCCTCCCCAGCTCTGGGATCCCAAGCATTCGCTACCACAGCAGCTGGATGGCATATCTGGCATCTGGACCGCTTGCCCCTCAGGTGGAATACAGGTGAGTTATACAGTCTGAATGACACAGCTCCCAAGTCCC